CAAAAGACAAGCATAAGTAGGTGGATAGCATCCCTGTCATTAGCCCTGAAAGTGATGGATTCTTTTTAAAGTAGCACCGAAGCCAAAACTTTTTTTAGTTTTAGAGTAAGGCAGGGTTATAACCCCGTCAGCTTTGTTTTGCCATCTGTGTCCCATTTGGGAGATTTCCCTTAATTTCCTGCCTAATACCCAAAACAGGTGAGTGTGGTAAATCCCTGGTGGGCAGAAGGGTCACTAGATTAGTGTCCCCATTGGACAATTTCCCATCTATTCTTCTTCTGATGACAGAAAATTATTTTACTTTCAGTAATAACGGGTACCAGGGTGAACCTCAATGATGAGGACACGAACAGCAATAAAAACCTAAAAGACAAAAATGACCAGCACATAAACAGCTTTGAGAGATTTTCACTTTCAGCTTTTTGCTTTTTGACCTTAGTAAACATCTGAGGTCTTAACTTTTTGTTTGCTGGCCAATTTTGTAATTTCTGATTCAAACGGTATGCTCATGGGCTGTGTCCTTTAGTTGGCATAGAAAGGTACAGATGTGGGATGGATTGTTGTCCAGCAAAAAAAAACAAACCTGATAGATGTTTTAATCCCTCTCCACTCTATCCAAAACTAAAAAAAGTTTTGGTTTCAGTTGTACTTTAATTGCTGTTTGAGGAATCAGGTCCGGAGTTCATTTAACTAATGTCAGAACTGATTAATTAGCTATTACATTTAATGCACCATCTCTGTATTTTTCATCACCTTACTGAATAGGCACTTTCTTTGTGATCTTGCTGTATATTGTGTTGTTTTTACAGTTTCCACTTAAGAAGCTGGGGGGACAACTAAAACTTGTACTAGTATCACATACATGCACAATAATCAATCTGGTCCTATTGACTCATAATTTAGCTGTACTGTCTTTGGTAACTGGAAGCTCTTGGTATAATGAGTTCTTCGAAAAACTGTAATTTCCTAATCTTTCATGGCTCACAGTTCAATGCGTAGCACCTGCGCTCGATTTGGAGATTTACATTTCTAAACTACTTTAATGTAAACAACTGCCAGTCTTTAGCAAGTATTTGTTTAAGAATTACAGCTACTTTGTCATCAAGAACATAAGACATCATGTTCACAAAGCTATGAATATGAGAAAATTACAGTATCTGTTTAATTTGTACAATCATTGTCAACATGACATAACAGTGTACTGAGGATTATCTACATGTTTTTGTTTATCACAAAATGTACAAATTCAGCTTCTGTAATAAATCATTCTCCACCTGCTATAAATATTTCAAGAGTTTAAACTTTGATCATTTGACAATCTGCTAGGTGTAATGATAAGCAGTCAATCCATTTTTAGAGAAGCATCCAAAGGTAATGTGTGTAGCTGGTGAAAATAATGCGCAAATATGTGATTATTGTAACGGTAATTACCAGACCATACAGTTGTAACTTTGTAATCCATCTGTGTACCCAGCAACTAGTAACTTTGACAACATTTGTGACACAGATGTAGGATGTGAGAAACTTTGATACTCAGAGATGTACGTTGTAGCAGATGATGGCAGGAGATAGGAAGCAATTCAACCGTCATTTGTTAAAACTTGCTGTAAATGCATGTTCATACCATAGAATAGAATCAGTCCCTGGTGCAAAAGGACATACAGTATTTTAAAAAAAATTGATTAGGGAAGACAGTTGAATTTCTGCAATATGTCAGATTTTTGTGTTTGCCTAAATTTCAAGGAAATTGCACTCTAGTTAGAGTAAAAGAACAATAAAAAAATATTTCACTGTTTAAAACTACCCATGATAAGCAGGAAACTTTTTTAAAAACGTGTTTTTTAAGCTAACTGCAGCAGGCAAATACTTTGAAAAAAACTTGAATTGCTTGTAGATGAAGCCAGGCACTCCCAGACACTTAGGGGGTTATTCACGAAGTATCCGAAGGATATAGCCATAGCTTTGGCTAATCCTTCGGCTCACTTTGGCCGCTGAAGCCCTTCAGCTTGGCTTCTGTATGGGCTATTCACAATATTCTGTACAGCAGCCGAAGCTGAGCTGAACACATATGCTTTGGTTCGGCTAAGCTGAAGTCACAGCCAAAGCAAGGAGTTTGGTAAACAAATAAAATTAAATTAAAAAAATGGTGTGTGGTCCCCTCCTGATCCAGCCCTAAAGGGTCTGGTAGGAAAGTTAGGAGTGATCCCCTGAGTTAAAAATAAAAAATAAATGGGGCTCCCCACAAAAGTCATACCAGGACCTTTAGGTCTGGTAGGAATATTAATGGGGAACCTCACCCCCAAAAAATGAAAAAAAAAACAACACATGGGGTTCCCCTGAAATTTCCAACCAGACACTTAATCTATGCACAGGCATGGCAGGGCAGGAAAGGGGGGACGAGCTAGTGCCCCCCCGCACCATACCAGGTCCCCCTGGAAAAGCACCTTGTCCCCATGCTGATGAGGACAAGGGCCTCTTCCGCCACAACCCTGACCCAATGGTTGTGGGGTCTGCGGGCTGGTGGGCTTATTTGCATTGGGGTACCCCTTCAATAAAGGGGACATCTGAATGCTGCCCCCCTGTGAATAAGTAAGGGGTCCTACTCATTCACTAACAGGTTAAAGTAAAAAGTAAATCAGGAGCCCACACTTTAAGAAAAAACCCTTTAATTAAAAATCAAAACAAAAGTTTTTGACATGTCAACAAAAAAAAAATAAAACAATTGAGCCACCAAGGTAATCCAAGTGTCAATCACAAAGTCCAGCATTGTCCACGACGATGCCGACTCATCGAAATTAAAAAAACCATGCCCGCTGACCCGCCCGCATGCGACGAATTCCTGCTGCAGAATGAAAGTTTGACAGATGTTGGCCAAATGTAAACAGATAGGCAGATTTAGCGGTGACATCCCCTTCCACCTATCTGTTTACATTTTGCCAGCATCTGTGAAATCGCTATTGTAAGTGCAGGCAAAATAAAAACAAATGGGCGAAGTCGGCCTTGACGTCACGGCAGGCTCCGCTCATTTGTTGTCATTTAGTGACAGGCTGCTGTCCTCACGGCAGGCTCCGCTCATTTGTCCAGCAAATGACCTAATGACTAATAGGGGGGACGGCGCCATTTAGACCTGTTAGTAGTCTTTTAACAAGGTGAGCAGCACTCCAGAAGGGCTTTTCTTAGGAGAGGTTCTCTGACTATCTTTGTGAGCACTTTCTACACAAGGACTGTTTCAATATCAAACGGTGGACATTTTTTGCTACAATGTTTTTGAACTATTTATTTTTCACTTTTATATGAGCACTTTATTGGACTTTCTTTTGAATTTTGATTGAATGATTATATTATTTTTTTCATCATTATAAGATTTATATTTGTTCGATTTTGAGATATTATTTATACAATCACATTATTATTCACTTATCACTTGTTTATATGTGATGCATTCATCTACTTTATCTTATTAATTTATCATTTTAATATTTTTTTTCACATGTGGATATTATGAGCTGATGTTTTAACATGCTTGCTCAGCACATGATTATTATTATTCTTTTTAGATATTTATTTGTGTGGCACTTGTTAGCACTTTAGAGTGGCTCATTTATACTTTCATATGTACAAAAATGTACATGCCCCACCAGCCTGTCTCCAATCCCCTTGCCCATGACGCCGATTCTTGGCGATCCAGACTTTCCACCGGAAATGAAGGGGGGTAGGCTGAGTAGACTACATGGACAGGGTTTTTTTCGGGTTGGTGACTTCCGCACAAGGGACCCTCCCTTGGATCAATGGAGCGCACTCCAAATCCGACATTTCTTATGCTCCATCCCAGTCTCCCGCATCCCCTCGTGCCCCATGACACAGTTCAACTCGTTATGTCAAGCCGGTTCG